GGCCTTGACATGCGGCACGCGGGACCTTAGTTCCCTGACCAGGGATGGAATGGAAGCGCGGAGTCTTAGCCACTGGACCGCCAGCGAAGTGCCAGTGAGCTTGGAAGGCCCAATTACAGAAGGAGCTGAAGCTTGGGGTGGGGGGCAGGGGTTACAGCCTGCCGGGTTCAGTCCCCATCCCAAGTACCAGGTACCCCGGTACTCATGACTGTCATCCTCAAACCCCCATGAAAATCTTGACAGTGGTTCCAGGAACTGGAGGCTGGGGCAGAGTTGAGAGAATGAGTTCTAGTCCCGGGTCGGGGTGGGCAGTGGGCAGATCCGGCAGCTCATCCCTGGCCACCGGGAGTCCTTGCCCGATGCCCAGACCCCACTGTCTGCCCCTGTGGGGCTCGGTTTTCTTAACTGGCCAATGAGGAAGTAACAGCCTGTCCCCCGATGACCTGGGGGATGAAACTGGAGGTGGGGCGGGGAGAGCTCTGCAGACAGCAAGGGCAGTGCTGTCACCAGTGTCATACCACAGGGCACGGGATTGCAGAGCCGTGCGTGGTGCCTCTCCCCAACACAGGGGGCACCCCCGTTCTTGGGTGGGGGGGCTCGAGCAGCTGCGGCTCCTCAGGGACCGGCCCCCTCCGCAGCTCCAGTCACACCAGGACCAGGGGCTCCAGCGTGACCAGCCTCCAGGCACTGCAAGGGGAAGAGAAGGGGTCTGGCTCAGGCAGAGGACCCCACATGTCCCACGAGCCTGGGGCAAGGTCCTGCGCTAGAGATGGAAGTGCCCGGGGGCACTGATGCCAGGGAAGGGCACACCCTGGTCCTCACCAGCCCGCCTCACCTGGGCAAGCTCGCAGGTTGCAGAAGCGGAGCCCCTGGTAGGCCGTAAGGATGTCAGGGCATCAGTGCCCGCTGGGCCCTGGGGGATGGTAGGGCCGTAAGCGGCGCTGCTGGCCCACCCCACATCTGCGGGAGCAAGGTTCCCACGGGGCCCAGGCAATCCAGGAACAGCTCCCGGCCATGCAGCCAGGGCCAGGGCACAGGGGCTGCGGGACAGGATGAAGCTGAGCTGGAGCCAGCCCCTCCTCCCCCTGCCCCAGTTCAAATGCTGACCTCCTCCGCCAGGGCTGGCTCTGCCCCCATCCTGCCCTCTGGGTTCCCCTTTCAGATCTGATCCTGACTGTTGTGTGGCTTTGGCAGCTGGGCCCCAGTTCCCCCTCTCAGGGGGGACAGTAGTCCCAGACTCCCACGGCAGCTGAGGGATCTGGATGGGACCTTTGGGGGAGGATTTGGTACACACACGAGTAAGGATTTGCTGAAGTTGGCAGGGGTCCCCAACAGCTGTTGGGATTGGCAAAGAAGGCCCAGGGTCCAGGGTCAGGCACGAATCCGTGATCAGATGTCGGGGTGAGAATTCAATATTTGCTTGAGGGATATTAGATGTGGGCTTGGGGTCGGACACCGGCTGGGGTTAGAATGAGTTGTTGGAGGGGATGGTCAGGATCCCGACCCGGGGCAGAGTCAGAGGTCAGGACTGGAAGGCGCACCTGTGCAGGAGGGCAGGTTGCAGGGGCGCTCCTGGGAAGAGGCCCCCCCGGTGCAGTTCGCCAGGCAGAGGCGGGTGCGGCTGCACCAAGCAGGGTGAGCGGGGTCTGTGCAGCTGCTGGAGCAGGGGGACCACGGGGACCACAGGCCCCAGCTGCCTTCGACGGGGAGAGGGGGTCTCCTGATGAGGCAGCCCTGGGCTCCTGGCCTGCTAGGAGCAAGGCTGGGGAGGGAGGAGACCCAGGGCTTGCTCTTCCCAGAGCGGGTGGTGCAGGGAATCCGGGGTCAGAGCCCGAGGAGTCTGGGATACCTGGAAGGCCTATCACTGGTTCCACCGTGGACCCTGCAGCCCCTGTGCCAAAGGAAAGCCCTGCTCAGAAGTGTTTCCCAGGCTGCAGTGCTCCAGGACCAAGCCCGAGGCTGGTGGTCAAGTTCCAAACCTGTCTGGTTCAGCCCAGACACCCCAGGCCCCAAGCACAGCACTCGCTCACAGTAGCCTTGCTACCATAGCAAGGCCTTTGTTCCTGATTCTTGGCATCCTTCTCCAATGCTTGTCAAAGTCCTCTCCATCACTCAGACCCCCTCAGGTGCTGCCTCCTCCAGGAAGTCCTCCTAGGTTGTCCCTCTAGGAGAATTCTCAACCTCCCCCATATTCCTCAGCACACGCAACCTCCCACAGGGCTCACCACATGCTGAAATGGGTTATCTGAGCCCCTGGATTCCAAGGTCGGGGTACTCACTCCCCATCCCCCAACACATCCCCCATGCACACTATGGTGCACGTGGCAAAAGCTCCAGAAATTTGGTTGAATGTACCTGAATAGAAGAGAAACACAGAGCTAGACAGTAAGAGGAAGAGAGACCAAGAGCTGGCGCCACGGATGGACAGAAACAGGAAGGGACAAAGGGCCAGTGAAGTGGATTCGGCCATCCAGCCTGTGCCTACCCAGTCCCTCTCCCCTCACCTGGGCAGTCTGGGCTGAGGCAGTACTCGAGGTCCTGGCGGGGCCCACGGCAGTCCTGGCCACCGGGAGTGGGTGTGGGGTGTGCACAGTGGCAGCTGCAGCTGCGGGTGCCCAGCCCGCCACAGGAGCGGAAGCAGGGGCTCCACGGGCCCCAGGGACCGAAGCCAACCCCAGCCTTGGAGCAGTCACCCATGGAGCAGGACAGCTTCCCGTCCACACAGGAGCTGGCAAGAGAGTGTGGGGATGAGGGGACGGCGGCATGGACCCCAGAAGAAAGGAGTGTGGGCAGATATTTCGATCCCAGAGGGCAAGGAGACGGAGCCAGGGTGAGCCCAGTTCCAGGAGAGGGGCAGTGCTCTCCCACCCACATGCTCTCACCCTCTCACCCCCTCCCTCGCCCCCCATATCTCCCCAACCCTCATTATCCCCCTCACCAGTTGCTGCAGCCTGTATGGAGGGTCTGACCTGAGCCCAACTCATCTCCAGGCCCAAGGGGCTGACCCCCCCTCTCCCCGAATGGACAGGTGAGCCCCCGGGTCAGCGTCGGCAGCTTGCAGCTCCTGCAGCAGTGAGGCAGTCAGCACACAGGAGCACTCCTGCGGGGAGCACAAGAGAAAGTGCAGTGGCACAGGCTGGAGCCACCTGCCGGGTGCCAGCTCTCCGCATCTGTGTACATCCTCGGAAGGCGCGTGGGGAGAAGGAAGCGGGTAGGGGAGGATGGTAGGGGGCAGGGGTGAGGCCCTGGGCCCTAGGAGAGCATTTCCGGCAGCAAGTGGGACTGTTCACGTGTGTCAGGGGTATGAATGTGAGTGATGCAAGGTTATGGGCTTGACCGGAGATGGCCAGGCACCTTCCTGTACAGAGCACTTAGCCAGGACACGGCAGGGTCAACAGAGGCCCTTCTAGGATGGGGCGGGGGAGCGGGGAGTGAGGGAGGAGGAAAGGGCCTCAGCCAGGAACCAGGACACCTGAGTCTGGGTCTAACTCTGCCAGTAACTGTCTCCTGACTTGGTGTGTCCCTTCCCCTCCCTGGGGTTCAGTGTCACCAGCTCTAAGTCAGGAGGCTTAGAGGCTGCTAGAGGCCACAGGGTCTGCAGAGGTGAGAGCTGACAGGGAAGGGGAGAGGCCTGGGTTCCAGGCAGGGTGAGTTCTAACCGGGACACAGGCCAAACGGTGCAGGAAGATGCCTTCGGGGCAGTGACAGCCCTCCTCTCAGCCAGCGGAGAAGCAGGCCACCTGCCAGGTGATGCGGGCGCAGAAGGGGCAGCCCTCACCGGGCTGGCACTCCCGGTACAGACGCCCGGCCGGGCAGCCTGCCTCTGAGGCAGCACCTGCGTCAGTGCCCAGCTCCGGCCCCGCTGCCCTCGCTGCCTCCTGTGCCCACCCCGCGGCCTGCCTCTACTCACCCCGGCGCCCACCCCCAGACGGGCCAACAACACCCTCCCGAGCCTGCCCCTCAGGGCCCGTGCCACGCCCGCTCCTGCGGTCTCCCCACACCTCGGCACAGCCCGCGTCTGCCTCCTTCCTCCTTCGCTTGCCCATCACTGGCCTGGGTAAGGGGCAGCCTGTGGGGGTGGCACGGGAGAGGTCAAAAGGCACCTGTGAGTCAGGGTCAAAGGCCAAAGTGGGAATCAGCTCAGTCGGAGCGTCCAGGGCAGAGCCTGGGCTGGGACTCACCTCTGCAGACCTGGGTGCAGCAGATGCGGCTCAGGCGGGCGGCCTGGGGCAGGGCGGCCAGGCGCAGCGCCGGGAGCACAGCCGCTCCCCTCCCTCTACACGAAACACTGCCATCCTCCCAGGGGCCCCAGCGGCCCCGCACCCCGGGCCCAGGGCAGTCGGGCACCTCCCAGCACTGCAGGATGCCCGCCACACAGGTGCTGGGGACAAGGAAGGCGGCTTCAGAAGACAGGGCCCTGCCCACTTCCCCGAGGGCCCTACTGCCCGGCTGGCAGTCCACCCCCTCCCTGGCTCACCCTCCTGGCTCACCAGCTGTCACACGGTCCAGTCACCACCTCCCCGGGATCCAGGCTCTCCCAGGAGCTGAGCCCAGACCCTGCGGACCGGCTCTGGTTCTCAGGGATCCCTGAGGACAAAGGAGTGGGGGCGGGCACTTCAGACGGCTCAGCCCCATCAATCCCTCCTCGTACCCTACTGCCTCCTCCCTCCCTCCCTCCCTCCCTACCAGACTCCACCCCATGGGGACCCAGATCCTGGACGCAGGAGATGGAAGCCCCAACCTGGACCAGCCCAAGGATGCAGGAGTTGCCCATTCCCATCCCACAGCCCCAGGTTGGCCCCTGTGGGCAGAGCAGCAGGGGCCAGGCAGGCAGGTGCTGCCATGCTCAGGGGGCCGTTGGGAGGGGGAGGGGAGGCACTGACCCATGGCTCCGGGCTGGTACTGGCAGCGGCATTGGGCTGGGGACACACAAAGGCCGTCCTCGGACAGCTGGCCAAGGGGCACCCACAGCTGGGCTGGCAGCCTGCCGAGCCTGGCTGGCACACGACCCCAGGGGACAGGTCCCGGCAGGAGCGGGGGCAGGGCCGCCCACAGGGGAGAAGACCCTAGCCACCTGCACAGTCTACAGCAGGAGGGAAGCAGAGAGGGTGGGTGCTGAGGGGGTCCACCCTGGGGGATCCTGTCGGGCGATAAGCCCTCCTGCTATGCCCACCACCCGCTCGGACCTTCACCCTGCCCCAGTTCCACGGGGTGAGTGCCCTAAGGGCTGTCCCTCAAAGAAAGTGACCTGCAAGTGTGTATGTGGGGGGGGTCAAAGGTCAGAGGCAGCATCTCCTAGCCTTACAAGGGACCCCCGCCCCCCAGAGCTCCACAGAAGCTCTCACCTGTGCATTGAGTAGAACTGTCCTGGCAGGGGCAACTCTGCCTGTGGTCCCCAGGGCAGTGTCGGCCTCCCTCAGAAGTGGGGGGCCAGCTACACGCTCGGCTCCGATGGGACTGCCCCAGGCAAACGTCACAGGGAGACCACGGTCCCCGTGGGCCCCAGGCTCCATCCACTGTGCCAGGAAGACAAAATCATCCAGCTGCCTTTGGAGGCCCAAGAGGTCCCAGCCTATTGGGATTGGAGCAACGTAGTGGGGCATCTTACCTGGGCACTCAGGGGGCTGGCGCAGGTCTCCCTCTGATGCCTCCCCCGCCTCCCCGGGGCACGTGACCCCTCCATGCTGAGGAACCGGGCAAGTGCAGGCCCTGGACCGGGTCCTCGTCTGGCCCCGGCAGGGCTGGGAGCACGCCGTCCTCTCTGACCACGGGCACCAGCCTGCAGGCACTGTGGAGGCGAATGGCGGGCATTGGGGTGCAGCCATCCCTCCCCTGGACCCAACTCTCTCTGCGCCCCTGGGCTGCTTCTCCTCACCTCCCCCGGAGCTGGGTGCACACCTGGGCAAGGCAGGTCTGTGCAGGTCAGCCTGCCCTCTGAGCAGGTGCTGGGCGGGGCATGCAGGCACAGGAGGGACAGGGCAGCTCAGTCCCGCCAGGTCCTCCGCACACACCCCTCCCAATCAGCCCTCCCTTCTATCCGCCCAGCCCCATTTCCCTCTGAGGTCTCAGTCACCCTTCCCGTCCTCTAGCGCCTCCAGCCCCTGCTCCCTGACCCACTCAGGGCCCTCTCAGGTGACCTGAGGACTCTGTCCTATGGGGAAATGATCAGAGGTCGCTGCTGCTGACAGGGGCCAGACAGTGGGAGGAAACACCACACCGCCTCCCCCTTGCCCCTCACAGCACACGCCCAGCCCTCCAAAGTCTCCCAGAACTGCGGAGCTGGCTGCCTCGGTTTCCCCACCTGTCAGACAAGGGGTTAGGGAGCCTGCCACATCTCCTCAGGGCTTGTGGGAGCTTAGCGTGCACCCGCTGAGACCGGGAGAGCTCAGGTGCACGAGACACAAAGTGGACTAGTCCTGTCCTCACCCCTGCACCTGTCCCTGCATCCCGCATCCTACCCACACGGTGCCTTCACCCCTGCGTCTGCATCCTGCCCGCACGCCCGCCTCACCAGCAGCTGCAGCCATCGGGCCTTGAGCGCCGGGACGGTGCCGCTCCCCGGTCAGCAGGCCCAGGCAGCTGCAGTGGCTGGGCTGCACGCAGACAGCGCCATCGGCACTCAGCAGCTGGCCCGGCGGGCAGTAACCGCCTGGCTGGCAGTGCCAAACGCAGTGCCGGGGGACAGCAAGGGAGGGCCCCGGTCAGCGGAAAGCAGGGCCGAGGCGACCGGGAAGGGGCCCCCGGGACGGGAAATGAAGTGGAGGGGGAGGGGGGCAGAGGGGAGAAGTTGTGAGGCTCCAGGTCAGAACTGCTGCGTCCCCCACTCAGTTTACGCCACGCGTGCACCGGGGTTTCTCCTCCAGGCGAGGAGGGGAGGGAGACGAGAGCCTGAGAGGAGCTGCCCTGGGCGGAGTGGCCTCCAAACGGGAGCCCCACGGAGGGATGAGTGGGGACCGAGCCATCTCCCAGACCTCCTAGAACGTAGGGGGCGGGCGACTGGAAAGCTGGGGGGAGGGGAGCGTTTGGGAAGGCGCTGGGGCTCCCCGGGGGAGGCCGGGACCAGGCACCGCCTCCTCGTCCCGCCCCCGTGCGGGAGCCTCCCGACCTCCCTGGGCAGGTCTGAGCAGGGCCTCCAAGCGCGTCCCTTCTCCCCAGCCCTTCTCTCAGCATTTTTGATTCGGGTCGGCTTCCTCACCACCGCGCAGGCGCCGCTGGGCAGAGACCCCGGCGGCCTTCCTGCGTCCCCTCCATGGTCCTGGGCGGGCGCTCAGAGGACAGCCCCTCACCCCCGCAGGCGCAGGCGCACACGCGCGCGCACGCCGATACGCCCCCGGGCTTTACGATGATGTGACGGGATGATTGCCCCTTCCTATGTGTTTATGCTGCTTCTGTCATAAAACGTTTAAGTCGAGAAACGTTTGCGGTAAGGAAGGCAAGGGCCGCTCCTTGAGTCACAGGAGCAAGGACAGGGAGGGCCACAAGGGCTGTACTCGGCCCCTTGGATGGCGGTGCAGTTGGTCACTGGGGGGAGGGGACAGGATAGGCAGAGAGCTGGGTGGGTCGCCCACCCCGGCCCACCCCTGCCCGTCTCCCTGCAGCTTTCCCACCTCTGCTCCTTGACCCAGCCCCGTCGCCGGCAGGTACCTGGGCATGGCAGAGCCTGGCAGGCCGCCCCCTGGGCCCAAGGTCCCTCGCAGTAATCCCCCAGCCCCAGGGTGGGGTCCGGCTCTGGAGGCCACCCACACAGGAGTGGCGAGGGCTTGGCTGGTGCAAGGCGGCAGGCATCCACAGGGCGCAGGGGCCACATGTGGGCTCCACAGGGTCACACCCCAGCAGGAGGCAGGGCTCCTCCTCTGCCTCAGGGCCTGGGCAAGGAGGTGGGGCTGAAGCCAGTGGGGGCAGCAGTGCCAAGCTGGATGGTGTAACGCCCGGGGGCCTGGTGCAGACGCGGTGGCGGTGGCGTGGGGCAGGGCCACAGGAGGCCAAGCACTCGCTCCATGGGGTCCAGGGTGACCACGTGGGCTGACCTGGGGGTGCACAGCAGAGAGAGGCAGAGAGACAACAGAGCAAGCGGAGGCTGGAGGGACCCAAAGGACTGGGGGCAGAGTGTGACGCACAGGACAAGAGCATCCCTCCTCCCTGCGCCCACCTCTCCCCAGGGCTTTCCTCCCCAGCCCCCAGCCCCGGCCCCATGCAGACCCACTGCGGCAAGCAGGGGGTGCAGAGGGAGCTTGCAGGGGCGAAGTCAGGAGAGACCCCCTTCTCACCCTCCTCACAAGGCCAGGAGGTGCAGTTGGTGATGAGCTCAGAGTCACAGGAGCTGGAGGGGGAGAAGCAGAGGGTCAGGGCGCTGTTAGAGGCCGAATGTGTCCCCTCAGATTCATATGTCGGAGGCCTAACATGTGAGTGTGACCGCAGAGTGTGACCTGACTTGGAGAGAGGGTCTTTACAGAGGTGATCAAGTTAAAATGGGACCATTAGGGTGACCCTAATCCAATATGACTGGTGTCCTTATACAAAGGGGAATTTGGACATAGGTGCACACAGAAAAGATGATGTGAAAACACAAGGAGGAGACGGCCACGTGAAGGCAGATTGGAGGGATACAGCTACAAGCCGAGGAACACCAGGAATTGCCCACGAAGTCCAGAAGAGGAAAGGGGCCTGGAACAGACGCTTGCTCACAGCCCTGAGGAGGAAGCAGCCCTGCCGACTCCGGGATCTTAGATTTCTAGACTCCAGAACTGTGATAGGACAAAGTCTGTGTTCAAGCCACCCTTGTGTTCGGTGTAGCTGAGGCAGCCTCAGCAGACAGAGATGGGAGGGACGAGGGAGACTGGAGGGGAGGGCAAGGGCGAGGGACACAAGCAGGCTTGGCCCCGGAGAGCTGGTCACTGTGCCTGCAGGAAGGGGTGTCTCCGAGGCCCATGGAGGCCAACACCCCCTGCCGCTCAGGAGAGACAGAGGGGTCCTTGGGGTCTTGGGGCCGTTGCAGGGGGAGGTGGTCTCACCAGTTCTCACATGGACGAATCACAGCACTGCCTGGGGGGGTGGAAGCGTCCCCCGCGGGCAGAGGGGCAGTCCTGGGTGGGCACACACACGTTGTTCTGAAACCAAAAACCCTCCATCACCTTCCGGTTTCCAGCCTGGCCTGCTCTCTCCCCACCTGCCCCCCATCATCAGAGCTCAGCGCCCACTTGGCAAGGCGCCCTCCCTCAAACACCACGGACCCTCCTTCCAAACATCAGTCTCTTCCCACTTCCCAGCATCGGGGAGACACACACCATCAGGTGCAGGGGCGGTGGGGAAGGGCACAGACCCCCGATTTCTGGGAGAAAAGACCGTCTCCACTTGCAGGACACAAGACTGAACTGTCAAATCCATGAAATCAACTAACAAAGTGTGAAAAGTGCAATTCATACAGAACGACGTAAAAAGAAACAAAACAAAATCAGATGAAACTACATGCACCCGGGGTTTGGACAGAAGTTGCTAGGGTCTCAAATTTAAAAATGCAGCCATCCGCCAGCACACGATTCGAAGTCAGATGTCCTGAAAGTAGCAGCCCTGGGAAGCCGTTTGCCATCTCACAGACTCCCATGACCAGGGACACTACAACCCCAGTTTTACAAGTAGAGAAACTGAGGCAAGAGAATACTCAGCCCGAAGTCATAGAGCTGCTAGTGGAACAGCCTGAGTCCTCACTGGAGTCTGTCCCTACCAGGCCCCATGCTTCAGCAGCATCTCTGGAAGCCCTCCCCACTGTCCCGTGAGCTTTTGTCCAAACTTCACCATCCCCTGCTGCATTTGCCAGCCCTGGTTCCCACCACCCTTCAACTGGAGTGGCTGCCTCACTGCTCTCCATATCCTCTAATCTCTGACAGTCAAGTTGGACTGCCTCTTCCAGGAAGCCCACCATCCTGGACCCCATCCCCACCAGTCTGCATCACGTGCTCTGCAACATGCAGAGCTCACTTCCTGTGTATCACATGGGTCTGTCTTCATTGTAGGGGCTCTGGGTCTGCTTTCCCCAGACTGGAGTCTCCTTGGGGGCAGAGCCTGCTCTTCCCCACAGCATAGCCCAGCCCAGGACTGAGCTTACAGTAAGTGCTCGATAAGTAACTGGTGATAATGTAAGAGGACAGAGTACTGAAGCAGGCACGAATCTTAAAGAATTTTCAGACTGGGCTTCCCTGGTGGCACAGTGGTTGAGAGTCTGCCTGCCGATGCAGGGGACATGGGTTCGAGCCCTGGTCTGGGAAGATCCCACATGCTGCGGAGCGACTAGGTCCGTGAGCCACAACTACTGAGCCTGCGCGTCTGGAGCCTGTGCTCCTCAACAAGAGAGGCCACGATAGTGAGAGGTCCGCGCACCGCGATTAAGAGTGGCCCCTGCTTGCCACAACTGGAGAAAGCCCTCGCACAGAAACGAAGACCCAACACAGACAAAAATAAATAAATAAATAAATAAAAATTAAAAAAAAAAAAAAAGAATTTCCAGACCAATCACCATTTTACAAACAGGAAAACAGAGGCCCATACCTGAACGCCACTCACCCAGGGTTATGTGCTGGTTACGGGGCTGGCAGAGCAGAGCCACGAGCCCTGAGTTCAGTGCTCTGTCCTCACTCTGCAAGGCTTTCCCTGTCTCCAGACCTTGGCTCGACCCCTACCCAAGCCCCAAGGAGGTGAGGCAGGGAACACTCACCAGAAGGAGCGTTCCGGACGGGCAGCAGCAGCCAGGGTGGCAGGGCTGGTCAGTCCCTCTCGGGGCACTGAGCTCTGCACAGGAAGCAGGGCCCTGTGCACTGTCCAGCCACTGCTTGCCCAGGGGACACACACCAGGCACTGGCCCTGGGGACACAGAGATTGACAGCTCAGCCTAGGCACATTCACTTCTCCCCCGGGGTCCCACCTGGGAGAGGCATCAGCTCGGGGCGCGGCTGGGAAGGTCGTGGGGCTGCATGGGAGCTCAGGGAGCAGGGTCCCTGGGGTGACAGGGAGGGGTTGACAAGGCCGTGGGTGGTGTAGGGATGAGAAGTGAGGGCAGGGCGTGGAGGAAGAGGTGGGTGCCTCATCTGTTCAGAAGGAGTAGACACTAGCTTGAGTCTCCTGGATCTTTCTCTTGAGTATTTCCTCCCTTTTAGTTTTCTCCAATAAAAATGTTTTAAAGCCCACTTGTCAAATTTGTGGACATTCCAGAAATAAAAAAATCTAAGAGAGAAAAGGCAAAAGAGAAAGTGGAATGAGGAGAGGAAGAATGAAGGAGGGAATGGGGGGAGGACCAGAGGACAGAAAATAAAAAGAAGAAAATTAACTGAAAGGAAAGAAAAAAGAACGGAAAATTGAAAAAAACAGAGGGAACGGGGTTAGCGCGCCCTCTACTGGCAGATTCTGGTATCAGTTTTGAGTGTTGGGTGCTTCAAGGTTTCTGAGCAGAAAGCAAGTGCACCCCAGGAAGTGAATTACACTCAGGAAAGACAAAGAGGCAACTGGAAGGAGAACGTAGAACGCCCCCACTCCAGGCTCTAGTTCCATCATAAATCGCCTCTCCCAGTTGAGCCTCAGTCTCCCCATCAGCCAAATGAGCGCGATGCCTGGGAGGAGGGGCAGGGGTCAGAGTGAACACTACCCCAGCCCACCAACCTCCAACGCCACCGCTACCTCCATCCACCGTCTGCCACCTCCTCCCCCAGCCCTTGCCCCCTCCCCATGCGCCAGTGAGGTTCCAGGGCCGTAGCAGGTCCAGCTGCAAGTAGGGGGGCTGGGCGTGCCCCTGGGTATAAGCATCCTCTACGGGCCTCCAGCCCTGCTGCCCAGGTGCCCCCGTGGGAGGCCTTAGGATGGCAGCCAAGGTGGGGTGCTCCAGCTGCTGGGATGAAGCATGCAGGCTCCCCTCGGGGAGTTGGGCCAGGCCCAGGGGAGAATAGCAGGGATCTGGGTGCATGAGAGAGGGGCTGGAGTTGGGGGAGGGCAGAGGCTGGCAGGAGCCTGCTAGGGGCATAGTTAGGAAGGCACGAGGGGAGTTGGGGGATTTGAAGGGCCCACACAGTTGACCTTGCAGTGTCTACAGGGACAGAAGGCTGGTCCAGGAAAGGCAGGGATGGTGAGGCAACTTAGGCCGGGATGACGTCTAGATGCTTAAGCAAACCATCCTCCCCATGGAAGCAAGAGGTATAGCCCAGCGATCCTGTTTGCCCTCCCAGGTTGGACAACCCTTGGGCAACATCCCCCCTCCGCCCTACGATAGCCCGTGGCCCTTACCTCTGCAGGGAGGCAGAATGTAGGTGATCAGAGGGGCCCCGATCTGGGGGCTTGGGGCTGGAGGGGCTGTGTGGCGGACCGTGTGGTTGTCTCCTGCGTGGGGAGACTCAGGCTCACACCAGCCCCTGGCCCAGCTCCCTGACCTCTCTCCGCTTCCTGGGGCACTTTCTCTCCCACGACTTCCCAGGAGCTTTGGGAACAGCTCCCCAGCTGGAAAAGCCCATCCTCTTTCTCTTGTTGTGAGTTGGGGGTTTTCACTTCCACTGAATACTTAACGTAGAATAAAACCGCCAGTCCAAAGCCACTTCAGGGGCCAGGACCGAGCGGCTGCAGTTCCTAATCCAGGGCTGCTGTCGCTAATTGGGTACCCTTGTGGGCACGAGAAAAGGGCATCTCTGGATGGAAGCGGTCCTCCAGGCTAGAGCCTAGCCCCCACTCGCCACGTAACTTGTGCAGTGAACCACCTGTACAACTGTGCATGCGGGCTCTCTCCTAACCTCAGCAGCCTATGGGTGCACTTTTAAGGTATGGAATCTGGACCCAAAGGCACATCAGTTTCTGAGCCTTTGTATCTTCCTGTTTTATTTATAATTCAGTTTCCAAGTAAAAAATGCTTTTGAAAAGCCCAACTTTGTCATAGTTGCTCTCAGGGGGAACAGGGAAGGAACCAGATCTGGCCCAGCAGAACCAGAGAAAAGAAAGTGCCCTCAAGGGTGACCTCACAGGGGAGGCAAAACCACAAAAAGGTCAGAGGAGGCGGGCAGAGATTGAGGCCTGGCCTTAGGAGAGCAGACAAGCGAGCGCTCTTCCCCCCAGCCCCACCCGAGGGCCCCTTCCTTCCCCAGCATCCAGGAACCAGGCTCCCATCACCCTGAGGCTGGGGTAGCCGGTGACCCCGACTCGGCGCTGCCACCTGTGGCTCCCTCTGAGTCCTCGCCACCCTCCTCCCCTTGGGGCCCCTCTGCTACCCCACAGACCCACTCACCAGGCAGGACACAGTGGCAACATGACTCTCCCACTCCCTCCACCAGAACCCAGTCCTGCGGGCACAAGAGTCAGGCCAGACGTGCTGAACTGGCCACCTGCCTGGCCCGACCCGCAACCCTGGCCTCTGCACACCTCGCCCCGCCCTCGCTGCCTGTTCCCCAACCCCGCCCTGTTCCCCCCTCACCTGGGGGCAGCTGCCCAGCAGGCGGTAGGGGGAGCAGCGTGACGGGCTGCCATGCAGACACTGGCAGCCCTGCAGAGGCCCTCTCGCCAGCCATCCCCGACTCGGCGGACCCGCGCGGGGCCTCAGCTGGCAACTGGGGAGGGAGGGCCACCCCTCACCTGCTGCCCCTTCTGGTTTGCCCAGAGCGAGAGCTTTCCAAGGACTCAGGACTTTCAGTGATAGAACCTGGAAAGTCCTGGGCCAACGGAGACACTTGGTCACCTCATCACCCCGACCCCACCCCGAACCCGAGAAACTGCAGCTGGCCCAAGCGAGGGGTATGGAAGCAAGCTGTGCCAGTGGAGCGGTCCCAGAGGGGACTGGACAGGCAGATATGGCTACTCCCCCTACAAGCCTCAACCCAGGTACCTCCAGAGGCACAAGGTGCAAACCAGAGGGCCCATACCCATCCCTGGACTTGTGGGCCCCCTACACCCCCTTTTTGGACCTCCAGGGCATAAAACGGATGCAGGAGAAGGCCATGGGTCCCCAAAGGTGCGCTGGGAGTCCTGGTGTTTAGACTAATAGGGGCACAGAGTGCGGGGGTCCTTATCTGGGGTCCGTGGTGCCCGTGGTGCCCGTGGAAGCACCCTGAGCACAGGCAGCTTCCCAAGTGGGAGCTGGAGGTGAGGTCAAGGTCCCCGCAGGTCCCTGGAGGGTGCAGTAGCTACAGGCCTTGAGGTGGATGCCCCGGCACTGGCGACCTCGGCCAGCGAGGCGGGCATTGTTGGCGCTCTGGAAGGACCACTGAATGCTGCGGCTCCCACAGGGGCCCAGGCACTCGGCCCAGGGAGACCAGGATGACCAGCCACAGTTCACTGAGGGAGGGCCAAGAGTCAGGGCCGCAGCAGGGCTGGGTGCTCAGCCACTGGTCTGGGAGGAGACCAGAGACCCCTCAGGAAGGGCTGCGGGGGGCCTCACCGGCACAGTCTGGGTCGGGCCGGCAGCACCGGGGCCGTCCATCTTGGCAGATGCAGAGCCGGCAGTCGGCCTCGATGTGCTGCCCACGCCAGTAGTGGGTGCCATCCACCAGGCAGGAGCACTGCCGCGGCCACACACACCGCCCCTCGTCACCCAGCACCTGCCCTGTGGGGCACCAGCAGCCTAGGGAAGGCCCAGGGTGAGGCTTCTCTGCGGAGAGCTCGGTCCCGGCAGACATGCCCACTGTACCCCAGGCCCAGAGCTCCCTTACCTGGGCTGCTGCAGGGCCGGTCAGGAGGGCAGCCAGCCTGACCAGAGATGTCATCACAGGTCAAAGGGCAAGGGGCACAGGGATGGAACACCAGCTCCCCGGAGCAGGTGACATTGGGGCAGCCGTCCTGAGGGCAGGGTCCTGAGATGAAGCCGAACCAGAGGTCATCGAGGGTGGGTCCCCTTCAGGGACGAGCCGCCCGCCAGCAGCCCCTCCACACTTCACCCACTGTGCCCTCCTCCCGTCCACTCACTGGTCTGGCGGGTGCTGGGAGGGTCCCCAGGCAGCATGGCACAGGTGTGGCCCCTGTTCCGGGGTGGGCGGCACTGCCGCTGCCGGATCATGGTGCCCCTACATGGCTCAGAGCACGGGGACCAGGGAGACCAGGAGGTCCATTCACTGTCCACTGTGAGGAGAAAGGGCCGACCAGTGGGGAGGCGGGCCGTGAGGTTGGGCTGGGGACCAGCGCCTTCCTCCCGCTGGCTCTCTGTAGGCCCCGCCCACCCCACTGGCCTCCTGGTGCCCAGGACCCCGCACCTGGGCAGGTGGCCGTGAAGCAGGCCTGAGTCTGGTGCTCGGGGCCCGGGCAGTGCCGCTGCACCGGGAGACTGGGCAGGGAGCAGCGGCGGCTGCAGCCCTGCACCCCGGGCCCGCATGTCTGGCTGCACGGCGCCCATGGGCTCCAGGGGCCCCAGGTCTCACAGCACTGCTCTTCCCAGGAGGGCCCTGCCTCCCCCGCCAATTCACAGTCAGGCTGCCCATCGCACACCTGAGGAGGGAATGGGGTCAGGGCGACTTTCGCTTTGGGGGCACAGTGGCTCTGCTTCTGCACCAGCCGTTCCCCACCCTCACCAGCTGGAGACCGAGGCAGAGGCCATCCGGGTAGGAGTATTCTGGGCCGGGAAGCCCTGTCCTGTTGGGGCCTCCTGGCACTGGCAGCCCCTCTGAGGGGAAGAGGAGAGAAAACAGGTAGGTGGGAGTGAGAGTCACCTCCCAGGCCCCCGCCTGCCGTGGCCTCCATCAGGGGAACAGTGTGCCTACCACAGCCCAGCTCATCCTCGCCCTGCGGACAGTCGGGGAGCCCATCGCAGAGCCGCTCAGGGTTCAGGCACAGCTGGGCAGCCAAACCACAGGGGAAGAGGCTGCCGCAGGGGGGCAGGAGCCTGCAGAGGGCGGGGCAGCCACAGGCACGGCTGGGGTGTGATGCAAAACCCTCAGGGGACACAGCCTGGCTCAGACACCTTTGTGAGGGGTCCCGGAGGGGCAGGCCACAGGGGAGGAGGTGGGGCCTGTGGACAGCGCCCAGCCGCCACCAGGTGGCCAGGCCGTGAAGATCTGACTCTTGGGGGCACAGAGGGGACCCCCAGGCCTGGTAGGGAGAAGAACACAAAAGCCCTTTCTTCTCTCCCCCGGGGCTGGGCGGGCAGACAAGAGTGTTCAGTTTCCGGGAAAGATTCAAGGAGGGCAAAACTCGCTCAGATTCGGCGGCCCCCAGACCTAAGTCGCTCTCTAGCGAGCGCCACCCCGAACCGCAGGCGCCGGGGTCCCCGTCCGAGCCGTGGGGACAGCGTGCGGCGCCGTCGCACAGCTGCGCGGGCGCCACACAGAGCCGGCCGCGGGCGCAGGCCCGGTCGCGGCCGTGCTCGCAGTCCTCGCCGTCGCAGCGCCAGCCCCGCGGGGCGCACTCGCCGCTGCCGCCGCCGCTCGCGAAGAGGCCGCAGGGCGGCGCTGCGGGGGCTTCCGCGCTCCACCCCGGCGGGGCGCCCGGGGATGCCTGCAGGCCGTCGGGCCCTTCCACCGCCTCCGGCTCCGCTCCCCCTCCAGGCCCTTCCGGCCCCCTACCTGCGCCCGGCCCTCCCCAAGTCCAGCCGCTCCCGCTTTTTGCTGCCCTACGGGTTTTCCAAAAGCTCTCCCGCCGCATCCAAGAATTCCCGTTAGACGCCAGTCGGTTTAGACGGGGACCTTGAACTTCTGGGAATAAAGTCTGGGCTCTGATTTCAGTCCCCTGCAAATGCTCTTCACTTCCTTCATTCCGGTGTCTCCAGGAGGCTGAGTCTGGGCCCTGCTCCTTCCCACCCCCAGCATCTGCCCCAAGGCCTCCCTCTGAGGCGCTGTCCCCTCCCTTCCAGGCCTCCAGACCCCATTTTCTCATCCTCTTCCCTTCAGGAGACTCACCGGGGGTGACGATGGCCTGGGGAGTATGTGCAGTCTCCCTGGAGACAGCGGAGGGGCCAGGCAAGGTACCAGCCGGGGGAGTGGGCAGAGAGGGGAGCGGGCAGTGCCCTGGCCCCTCGTCGGCTCCATCTGGGCAGTGCCAGATTCCATCACACAGGTGGATGGTCCCCACGCAGGCACCATCGATGCGGGACACCTCCCCAGGGGTGCAGTTCACTTGCCCTGTAGCCAGAGAAAGGTGCTGGTCCCAGGGCACTGCCCCTTCTCCTCACTGTTTGGGGTGCCCTCACTCACACACCCACAGATGCCCAGTTCTCAGCTGGAAGCTGGATTGGTGAAGGAGGGGAGGCAGGCAGGTGGGGGCCCACAAGATGGGTCTCTCGGAAGGGGACGCCTGGTGGGCTGGAGTCCGGGGTAGGGACTGCTAACCTCAACAGGACTGCTCGTCAGCAGCGTCCCGACAGTCAGGGTGCCCATCGCAGAGCAGGGCGGGGGGCAGGCAGCACCCGTCAGCACAGGCCAGTGAGTCCTGGGGGCATGGGCAGCCCTGCTCATCCGTCCCGTCTCCACAGTTGTCCTGCCCATCACAGATCAGGGCCGGGGGCAGGCAGTGGCCGGAGCTGCAAGAAATCTGCCCCTCCCCACGGCCTGGGGTGACACAGCCTGGTGTGGGGAGGGCGGGCAGGCTGAGGATGCTGACAAAGGGTCCCAGAGAAGCCCCCAAACCCAGAAACCAGAACATCCCTGCCCACAAGTCACAGCGGCTGGTAGCAGGAGCAGCAGCTTAGGAAGCGGCCCTAGGACGCAGGCTTCCGCTACACTTTCGAGGACTAACCCGCCACTCGGCCACTGCCACCCGGGACACTCACCCTCCTCGTCTGAGCCATCGCCATAGTCATCCTGGTAGTCACAAAGCCACCCGTGGAGCACACAGTGCCCGCCCTCCTGGCATGGGGCCTCTCCCTCTGCACAGCCAGGCACCGGCGCCTCCCCGCGGCTACCGTCATCCCCACAAAGCCACTGACTTTCCTGGCACGTGCTGAGGACAGTGTCCTGGGCTCAGCCAGCCCAGGGCACAGGCTCCCCCTGAGGCCTGCCACTCACCAGTTGCCACAGTCTGCAGTATGGTGCCTGGCGGGAGGAAGCTGCCTTGCCACTCGCAGGGGCAGGAAGCCGGCTCGAGGCAGACTCCTCCTGAGATCACAGGGCGGGGCTCTGGCTAAAGGGGCACGGCAGCCCTCTGTGCCAGCCCTGTCACCATGGCCTTGTGGGCCCCTCCCCTCTGCCCACTCTGACCCTACACACAGTGCAGCAGAGTCCCCTCAGGACAGAAGCAGCCCTCCACACGGGCAATGGCCTGGCAGTGCCACCCAGGCTCAGGACCGTGGTCATGGCAGGTGGCGGGGGTGACGCATGGGGCCACAGGCCTCATACCCCTGGCCCCCTTCACACTGCAGAGCTGGGTGGAGAGGAGAGAGGCTTGGGTGCCTGAGGTGCAAGGGCACCAGGATACAACAGCAGCAGGCGAGCCAGCCTGAGGCGACACTCAGGGAGGGCACAGGGGTGCGTGGCGCAGACTCTTGCTGAGCCCCTCCCAAGGCTATTTGCCACGTGCACGCTCCACAGAGCCACAATTTCATCGTGTTTGGTTCATCTAGGGAAGTGTCTGGCGCACAGTAAGCACTCCACACGTATTCGCCCTTGAATGAATGAATGGCTGGCTCTCAGGCTAGGAAAAGTATCCTAGAAGGAGCTGAACGTGTGGTGGGATTGGGCATCGGGGACCCAGGGTGGGGCACACTCACGGCAGAGCTCCTGGCTGTGCCAGCACATATGGATCCCGTGCCGTGCCGGGAACACTCGTTTGCGTAGGTGGCGATGGCCAAGCAGAGATACTCACAGTCGCCCCCTGAATCACATCTGAGAGAGGGAGCGCTCGGGCCCAGCCCTTCCCCAGGCCTGCTCTTCTCACCTGCGGGTGTCATGCACACACCACTCGAAGTGCTGCTCTGGGGGCACCTCCGCATGGCACCTGACAAAGAGCGGCTGCAGCATCACCCCGCAGCGGGCGCGGGCCCAGCCAGCCCGGTGGGCGTTCACCTGCGGGCACACCACGGTGGACCAGCCAGACTCCGCAGCACCCAGCCTCTCGAACCCCCCGACCTCGGGTTTCCGCAGCTGCCCCTCCTCCCTTCCCCCTTTCCTGCCCATCCTCACGGCGCAGGGGTGCCACAGGTCCCCTGGCTCGGGGCAGAGAGGACTGAGGCACCAGGAGTGGGCAGCCAGTTCAGCCGTGGGCTCCAGGCAGGACTCCCTGGCGGCTCCGAAGGTCATTACTGGCGTCTCCATCAAAGTCTCCACACAGCCCAGCCACCCGGCCGCGGAACTCGGGGGACAGCTGCACCAAGACCCGGGTGCCCGCACGGAGAGGGCAGCACGGGGAAGGATTGTGGAGACAGGATCCCGGAGGCCTTCTTTAGGGCAGGGGGCTGGGAGAAGACCTAGGCGCCTATTATGTGGGCCTGCTTGACCGTCCCAGGTAAGTACCACCACCCACCAGGGGGCACTGGCTCCCTCTTTCGGGGGTGATGATTGGTGGGGATAGAAGAGACCTACCTTTGGGGGGCTAAGGGCAAGAAGTGAGAGCCTACTTTCCGAACTAAACCAAGGTTGGGGGGGGGAGGTAGAGAAATTCTCCAAAGGGCAGGATTCCAGACTCCAGGACGGCCTGTGACACCCACCAGCCCGAGGCCTCAGTGCAGGCAATTTTTTCCCACAATGGGGGTTATTTTGATTTCCTTTGATTTCTCAGTAACGGTTATTTCTAAATCGCCAACTGCTTGGGTTTGGGTGGTGGGATGTTAGGAAATTTATTTTTGTTTCTTCTCTCTAAAACTTGGTATTTTTAAACTGTTTCTTTGGTGAGGAGGTATTGCTTTCATAATGAAGAAAAATATAATTATGAAAACATAATTTGGAGACTCTGACCACACATGAGAAGGAGTGAGAGTTTGTGGGGAGCTTCGGGGTGGGGGTCAGATGACTGGGGGCGGGGGCTGCCCTCCATCCCAGAGCAGGGTGAGGCCCAGGTAGGTGGTGAGTTGCAGGAAGAGGCCAGCATGGCGCAGGCTCAGCCCGGAGCCCGTGTAGACCTTGGGGGGCGTTACACTCACCTCATTCACTGTCACTGCCTGGCCTGTGGAGGGAGAGAGACATTCAGGCTCAGCCTTGGAATAAAGGGGCTCCAAGATCCCCATGAGGCCCTCCTAGCCTCCCCTCCAACCTTTCCTTTGCTTTTCTAGCTGTGTGACCTGGAGCTAGTCATTAGACCTCTCTGGGCTTTAATTTCATGGAGCCTTCCAGAATTATGATTCCCAGCCAAGAGAAGAGGCGCCAGCCCCACTGCACCGATGGCTAGCAGTGGGGAGACACGGGGAACCCCAGACCTCAGCTACCCATGCAGAGCTGCGATGCCACCTGGGGTGCCCCTCCCTGGCAACGTCACCCTTCAATGTCGCAGCCACCTCTCAGCATGTGCACAATGGTGCTCTGCAGCCGCAGTCAGCGCCTTGGTGCAGGTGATGCCGCTGGCCCCGCAGGGCAGGTCCTGGGCAGAGACTGTGAAACGGCCGCTGGCCTCTCGCACCAGCAGATACTCGCAGGCCCCGGGGAAGGTGAGGGCCAGCCCATCAAATGTCACATAGTGGGGGGCACCTGATGCCTGGCACCGTCCATCGCACCACTGGCCCATGCAGCGCCACTGCCGACCCTGGCACACCCTGTGGGCAAAAGGGAGAGGGGAGACAGATTCATGAAGACAGGGACCTGGAACTGTATCCAGGGCAGGCAGCCAGTCCAGATTCCAAGCAACTCCAGACAGACCCTCAGTTTGGAGAGATGCTGAGGACTCCCGTTGTCCAGGCCAGTCTGGATATCCCACCCACCATCACCCCAGCCCCTAGCCAGGGGTCACTAGGTTACAGGGTTACAGGTCACGGGCTGGGCATACCAAATGTTATAGTCCCCCTGGATTGCAGCGTTGGGCGGGTACCACTGCCCACCATGACGGCAGGGACAGAGCTCGGGAGGTATGCAGCCCTCATCCTGAGCAGAGGCCGGGGACAAAGGACTCCTTGGAGGACTGCTTGATCCCCCATCACCACCAGTTACACACAGGCAGGGGTCAGGGCAGGGCTCTGGTTCGGGTAGCCCCCTCCAGGACTTACCAGCAGCACGGTTCCTGGGGGACAGACACAGCCCCCCCATGCTGCCTGGAGGGCAGGAGCCATTGGCACTGGGGCTGTCACAGGTGAGGAGGGAGGCACCAGGGACGTAGACGAGCCCACGGAGGCAGAATGCCCGTGGTGGGGCGCAGCGTTGAGCAGTGCAATTCCATAGGCCCCTCTCCTGGCAGATGCTGCCAGAGGTGGGGAGGCAGGTTAGGGCCAGGCCCAAACCCAGACTCACTTCCAGGCCCCTGACCTGCCCTGGGAGAGCCTCAGGATCCCAGGGGTCTGGAGCCCCTAACGTTGAGGGAAAATCCAGCTCTGACACTGGAGACCTGAGCGTCTCACCCCCAACCCCAGTTGTCACAAGCACAGGAAGTGGGACTGTTTCCAGCACCTGGCCATACCTGGGATAGACACTGTCACCCTTTCCTGCCCCAATTCCAAGAGGCCATTCTCTGGGCTCTGGGGAGGGGCAGAGATATTGAACAACCCTACTCCCAGCACAGGTAGGAAAAGGATTTCACTGAAGTCTCACTCTCACCCACCAAAGCCTGGATCTGGCACAGCCTCTGTAGGTCTGTAACTTGCCTTTACTTCCTAACCCATTGAAGAGCCTCTGGACCACACTCAACTGGAATTCAGGGATCTGGGTTCTAGTCCTTCATCATTAACAAGCTATGTGACTCTGCAGGCTATTTAGCCTATCCAAGCCTCAGTTTCCTCATCTGCAAAATGGGAACAATTTTCCTCTTCCTACTTTACTAGGTTATTGTAAGAATAAAGTAAGATTAAATAAGGTAATATACGTGAAAGTGCTTTATAGGCCCTAAAGTGCTTCACAACTGAGGGGAAGTTATCAGCATTTTGTCATTCTGACGTGCATGCCATCAGCCCGGAACCCACAGAGCTACATCCCTGACCCCTTTTGTCTAAGCTCCACCTCTTCACCCCCAAGCTTTTTGCCTCCCCCCACAGGTGTGTGCTCTTACCAGCGGTTGCAGTCCTTCATGGTAGCACTGCCAGGGACATAGCGATGGGCCCCAAGCTGGCAGGCGCATGAGCCGGGGGGCACACACTGGCCCTCAGGGTCCCAAAGCAGCCCCAGGGGGCAATTACAACCGGCCACACAGCTGCCCAGCTCCCCACAGCCTTCAGTCTCCCCACAGTTCCAACCGCACACTGGGGTACACTCCTGGTACTCCTGGCCACCAGGACACAGGACAGATGGGCACAGAGATGCATGCAGGTCAGGGGTATTGCCACTGCTGCTCTGCCCACCCCTCCGGACCCGCCAGTCCCTACGTCTCTGAAAGAAGGCAAACCCAGCAAACTGCCAAGGTCAGAGGTCCTTCTGGGGACCCTCCCCTGCTGCAAAGCCATTGGATCCCACTGAGCCATTCCTAGAAGGTGCTGGAAGAAAGAGCCTGGGGATGGGGCTGGCCGGCTGAGCAGACTCACAGCAGAGGGTCTAGTCTCTCCAGAAAAGCAGGGCACCCTCCTGGGCACAGTGCCGAGCACAGGCAGCGAGCACGGGGCATAGGCAGTCCCCGCCGGGGGTGCAGCCACACACAGCTGTCAAGCAGTGCAGGTGGAACTGTGCCCTGTCCACCAGCCCGTGGCACTCCTTGGAGGGAGATGAGGAAGGAGGTTGGCTCCTCCCCCACAGATTCCCCTGTCTTCTCTGGTCCCCACTGCCACCTCCCAGTGCTCAGCAGCCCTGGCACGGCACCAGGGCCCTCCCAGTAGCCCAAGAGGCGGGCAGGGCAGGTATTGACCCCATTTTACAGGTGCAAACAGGAGGAGTGCCCCCAACCTGGCTACCTGGAAGACTGGGCCATGCAAGATGGCACAGGCTGCCTCCGCGAAAATGTGACGCTGAGTGTGGGTGCTGCAGCGGGAAAGTGGGGCGCTGTCCTCCGAGGGGCACCTTCCCTCGCCTGCCACTTGGAACTTGCTAGCAAAGGCGGCAAAGCTGGTCTCCACGTCACCAGCAGGAGTCAGGAAGTCATCCTGCTGGTTCCAGGCCCTCTGTGGCTTCGCCCAGCCACTCACCGGCCCTCTGGCACACCTGGAGAGCATGGCGGGCATCCAGGGTGATGTAGGCTGCAGGGTCAGACGCTCCCCAGAGGACACGCGGGCCCCAGGCCAAAGCGGCAGCAGAAAGGTGGAAGAGGCTCCGGGAGACGCTGAGGCCCCCAGGGCCGCTCCAGGGCAAGACCACATCCTGCCCGTCCACCAGTACTGCTCCTGCAATAGGGGGTCTGTGAGGGGGCCACCCGCAAAGGGCTGGGCTGGGCTGATGACAGTGGGGGGAGGGCACATTGCAGGATGGGGCTGTGAGAAGGGGAAGGACCTGGGATAGGAGGGGGGACGGCCTGTGTCATGGTGGGCTGCCCACCCTGAGCAAGGGGAACTGGAGTGACCCCTGGGAGGTCACGCATCCCACCTACAACCCCCACGTGACCCTTCGCACCCACTTTGCCTTTGCCCTTGGAGTCAGTGTGCAGGAGGGGCTGGGACTCGGCCCCTGGCTGTCCAGAGCTGGGAGGGGCCTGCCTGCCTTGGTCACCCCAAGAGGCCTTTCAGATCCCTCAGAACTATATGAATTGTATTTTCCCCTCAGGATGGGGCAGAAGATGCCTTGGAAAATTTCCACGGGACTTTATGTCTGCTTCAGAGATGGCAGAGCGAGGCGGAAGTTGAGGCAGTGATTTTGGCTGAGGGAGTCTGGCAGGAGAGTTGGGCTCAGGATCCACAGGGCGGTGTGGATGGAAGGTGCTGGACAGAGCCCAAGTCCACAGGGAGAGGAGAGATGACAGGAGGCCCCTGGGGCCTGAGTCACACTCCAGAGGGCTTCTGGGAGCAGAAGGCCTGGTAGGTAGGTACCCTGAGAGCTGAGGCTACCTGAGTCCCTGAGCTGGACATGGGTGTCCCCCAGGGAGACCAAGATGGCATGGAGGCAGCTCCCAGAATTGCAGTCCCCGTGCTCCAGTACAGTCAGTAGCGGCCTCTTTATGAAGTCCTGGGGCCAATGGTGAGGAACATGGTGGCGTTGGGGCAGACCCTGAGAGCAGCTCCTGTTCTACTGGTCACCTACGGCACACACTGGGGCAGCTTCCACGCAGCACGTACGCTGACCGCCTGCCAGCCAGCCAGACTCTGTGAGGTAAGGGGCTTAACCCTCACCAAGGGCTGGCATATGTGACGTGTGTGTGTGTGTGCGTGTGCGTGCTTGCGTGCACCCGCATGTGGAGGTGTGTGTGTGCATGTTTGGGCAACATGTCTCCTCTCCCTCCTCCCTGTGGGTACGCTCATCTCTATGTGTGCCCGTGCACACACACACACGCTAAATCTATGTGCACACGTGTGAGCATGTCATGTGCGAGCTCCTGTTTGTGCCTATGTGTGTAAGAAGGTGGCCTGGGCCTGGAGCTGGGAAGTCACCTAACTTTATTGGTGGAGGGCTGGGAGGAAGGAGGACCCTCATTTCCCCTGGGGTTGTTTTACAGGAAGTACCGAGTGACAAGCCCAGCTGTCCCGTGTGTGAGAAAGGACCGTGAGGTTGGGTTTTGTTTTGGGCCCCTGGGCTGGGGTGGCGATGACGGCGGGACTTTCACAGGAACCTAAGGAGGAGGCAAGAACCAAAAGGGCAGGCTTGTGGGTCTGCGGCTGCCATCTTCCCTCCAGAGTCGTTTCTCTCTCAGCTTTTCCCTGGACGACTGTGTGTTCTGTTTACTTAGTGGTTTGCTTACAGTGCCTTCTCCCCCATAGCACCCCTGCGAGGGCCCCCGCTCTGGCACGACACCCCGCTCCCGGACTTGGTCCTCTGCACACCTGCGCCAGGCTGAAGCGGCGACCCGCGCGGCCGCGGAAGGAGAAGCTCCGCCCATCGGAGGTGAGGTAATGCCCGTCCCCGCCCACCGCGCCCTCGGCGGGGGGCACGGCGCCTGCGCGCAGAGCCAGCGGCCGTCCTGGCCAACGCTGTGGGCGCGAGGGACGGGAGAGCGCGCTCCGGATCGGCCCCACGGCGGAGGGGGCTGGGGTGGGGGGTGGAGTGGAGAGGGGGTGGGGGTGGAGTGGAGGGGGTGGAGGGGGAGGGACCGAGCTGGAGACGCCCTCCTACCCCCCCAAAATCCTGGTCCCTTCCTCCCCCAGCACCCCCTTCTCCCCGTTAGCACTAGAGGTCAGCTGATGGAGATCACCGGCTAGGTTTTTAAGCAGGGCCGTCACTTACGCCTTGAGAGGTCACAGATCTCTTGTGAGGGAGGCCCCAGAAGGGAGGCAGGTTGAGGAGATAGCATAAGGGAGGGATCAGAGGGAACCAGGGAGCCTCCAACCCCAGCGAAAAGGCCAGCAAGGCCCGTGGACCCACCGCGGGCTGCACAGCTGGCGCACGGTGTCACCGGGGTCGTAGCGCCGGCGTCGGTGGTAGCAGGGCCAGCGGGCGGCAGGCACACAGAGGGCGCGGTCCCGGAAGAGGCCTGGCGGGCACTCGCGGCCGCTCACGCACCCTTCCCCGCAGGACCCCTCGCCCCCCTCGCCCACTGCCGAGCAGCTGGGCGGGCAGGCCGAGGCGCAGTCCTAGCACAGCCGGCCCCCTAGGCACAGGCGCTCTGCGGGCACAGGAGTGGTTGTGAGGCCCAAGGAGCTTCCCTCCTCCCGCCAGATCCCGCTGCCGCTGGAGAGCCAGCAGGTCTTGGCAGCCCCCCCAGAGGGGCGCTCAGGGGGTAGCGGACCCCTCAGGAAACAGGAGCCACGTGACGGCCCTCGGTCAGTTCCCAGTTCCACAGGGTGGGGAGGCCAGAGGCTGTGCACAGAGGGACAGGCGGGAGCCCTACCGCAGAAGCCGGGCTTCCTCCAGCGCACGCGGATGCGCCGCGCCGCACGATCCTGGGCGTAGCTGGCCAAGGTGGGGCACGCGGCCTCCAGCCGCTCCTCCCGCCCACTGCCCGCTGGGGCCCCAGCACAGTAGGCAAAGAGGCAGGTCTCGTGGTACTCAGCAGGGGGCACCTGCCGAACCGGGACAGCACCTCAGCCAACCAGCCTTCTCCAGTACTCATCAGCGCCTCCCTCCTCTTGCTTCCAAAACGCCCTGGTTTATAACCAAACAGGTGAACACTGCAAGGGACCTTAGAGATAATATATAGGAGCCTCCCAGAGGGGGCGCCCTGACCGACGGCCCAAAGCAATTCGGTGGCTGGACCAGGTGCCCCGTTTGGCAGCTCCCCAGCACTCCCCCTTCCCACCCCTCCAGTGCCTGATGCCACCTCCACCCCCACCCGTACCTGGGCATGGTATTCCCTGCATGGACCGTCCAGCAGCTGATGGCACACATCCTGGGCTGCAGCCTGGTAGCGCAGTGGTTAAGAATCCGCCTGCCAATGCAGGGGACACGGGTTCGTGTCCTGGTCCGGGAAGATCCCACATGCCGCAGAGCAACTAAGCCCGTGCACCACAACTACTGAGCCTGCACTCTAGAGCCCGCGAGCCACAACTACTGAGCCCACGTGCCACAACTACTGAAGCCCGTGTGCCTAGAGCCCGTGCTCTGCAACAAGAGAAGCCACCTTAATGAGAGGCCTACGCACTGCAACAAAAAGTAGCCCCCGCTCGCTGCAACTAAAAACAAGAAAGCCCACGTGCAGCAACGAAGACCCAACCAGCCAAAAATAAATAAATAAATATAAATAAATTTTTAAAAAAAGAACTTTAACTGCCTGTCAGGGGAGCAGGTGACGGCTGGGGCTGTGCCTTTCCCGCAGGCTGGGGTCTGTGGACCCACCGGGGAGTTTGTGGCTGGAGCAGCTGTGGCAGGGCTGGGAGCGGCCATCCTGCCAGCTGTGTCCCCAAGGCCAGGCACAGCACTCCTCCAGGCTTCCCACAGAAGCGTTAGCTGAGCCTGCCCTTGGCTGGCACATACATGTGGCAAAGCAGTGGCCCTCAAGGCTGGCTTCGGCAACGGCTGTGGTGGGTAGAAAGAGAGAATGGGCAGAGCCAGATGGTCAGCCTGGACCGGACTTCCCTCCCCAGGCAGCCTGCCACCTCCAGGAAACCCCGGATCTGGGCTAATCTCAGGCGCTTACCCAGGGTGCAGTGGATGCCCCCCCCCCAACCTGGGCAGCAAGCCCCCACCGTCAGGTTCCATGCAGCAGGCCTCGTTTCCAGGGGCCTGGGTCCACCAGGTAGGGGGAGGGGAGAAGATGTTAGTGTTCAGCCCCATCCCTGGGAATGGCCTGGGACATTCAATCTGGTCACCTACTCTCTGAGAGGCTTTATCGTGTAAGTTTCCCTTCTTGGTCTCCATTTCCAAAGCGAGAATGATCTCGGGAAGGCGGACTGAAGGGGGGGGCAGGGGGAGCAGGCATCATGACTCTCCCTGCTCTGCCCACGGAAGTGCCCACTCATCCCCCACCTCCACCCCCACCCTCCACCCCTCTGGAGCCCACCCACGACCTGCTTCCCAAATGCCCGCTTCTCCAGGTCAACACTCAGTCCTCCCCTACTCTAAGGATGTCACCCCACGGCTCTCTCCTGCTTGGCTGCTAGCCCAGGCTCCATGTCACTCACTTGTAGATGGGGCAGAGCCCCGCACGGCCACTCCAGATCAAGTCCAGCCTCCAGCCCCAGCGCTGGTAATGATGGAGGCTGGTGCAGGGCACCAGGTCCTCCTGACGGGAGGTTACTTCCTCCTACACCAGGATGGTCTCTGTCCGCTCACACCACCGCCTGCCCATAGATGGGGACCGACAGCTGCGGCCACTGTCCCCATCTGTCCGAGAGGCCCTATCCTGTGACCCCACTCCCCGTGGAGAGTTAGTTAGCTGAGGGGGAGGCTAAGTTACACAGGCTGAGAGAAGGGGGGGTGCGGGAAGGAGTCTGGCTGCCCCAGAGGGGCCTGGGCCTGCGGCAGGAGAAGGATCTTAGTCCGAGGAGCCCCAGGGTGGGCTGCTTACCCATCAGCCAGTGCCCATGCCGTCCCACAGAGCAGGGCAGGGAGCAGCATGGCGACCCCCCAGGTCACCTTTGGGGGCTGTGAGGCTTTGGGGAGCCAATGCTGTGGCAGGTGAGCAGAGACTGGGGCTGGCCTCCCCAGTCCCACACTGCTGCTACTGCAGCCTGGGGTCAGTGTGTCCAAGGCAGCCTGAGACAGCGAGCATGAGGCCCGTGGCACTGGGGAGGCATTATCTCAGCCCCATGCCCAGCTGCCCAGAACCAGATTGGACCTGCCTACACATCACGCAATCCTCTCAGAGGCCAGCTGAGGCCAGCTCTCCCTGGAAACAATCCCCTTCCTGTGTGTGTGAGTGTGTGTGTGTGTGTGTGTGTGTGTGTGTGTGTGTGTGTGTGTGATGGGGGGTCCGTGTGTCCCTGATAGTACACTCTCAGGCCCTACCACCAATTAACGTGGACAGAGGCAAGCCACACTCTCTTTCTGGGACTCAATTTCCTTACCAGTAAAAACCTCAGGGGCCTCCCAGGGAATCACAGGTGGGACAGGGGCTCCACGAATACTTTGAAATTGTGTGTGTGCATGTTTTTCTGATGACAGTTCCATAACTTTTATTAGATTCTCAAGGGGGGCCGTGACCCCACAACAGTGTTAAGAGTCACAGCGCCACGGCCGTCCAGCCCTCAGATCCTGAGTGTACGATCCTCTCCCTGTCCCTTTCCTGCTTCTCCTGCCCCCTCTCCTGCCAAGCACTCCAGAAACGAGGGTCAGTAAGCAGAAGGAATGGGGTTTCCAGGGCGCTTGGACTGTTTGCGGACAGGGGGGTGGCATGCGGTCTGACTTCTCACTGAGGGTGATCGTCTGTGGCTGGCGGGGTCCACCTGCTCTCCTAGGGTCCCTGGGATCCAGAACCAGGAAGCCCAGATAGGGGAAGGAGAGCCAGCCTCAGGGAGGAGTGCCTGGGCTAGAAAGTGTGGGGGGCAGGGGGCAGAGGGGCCTGCAGCCAGCTCCCCCAGCCCTTCGGGCAGGGCAACCGGATGGGATAATCTGAGCAGAGCATCCGGTTGGAAGAGGGTTGGGCAGCAGCTCGCTCCCCAGGGGAATCCTGGTTACATCCTGGTTACCGGTTACCAGCTCCGAGGACACCCAGGCTGGCAATGTGGCCTGGGCCTCAGATCCTGTAACCCTCTAACCCCTAAGCCTGATGTGCCTCCAAGAATCCCACACAGTCACCCCACCTGTGGTGGGCAGGGTGTGTGTGGGGGGCGGGGAGGCTGCCAGGAACCAGAGCCCTGCCAGGCATTCTTCTGGGCCGACCCTTGGTCCTGGGCCAGGAGAAGGCGCAGTGAGTCCCTCAGGGAGCTCTCGGAGGGGGTCCTCGGAAAGGTCCAGGGTCAGGCCATGGACACCCAGCTGTTCCCAGACTCTCACACATGCACACCTGGACACTCTCCCTCTGGCACCTAACACACACTCGCACTGCAGGTCTTACAAGGACAGACCGAGGTGCCTGTGCCCCATCCTGGCACACAGTGATGTGTTCTGCTCCCAGGGCCGTCCTGCAGCCTGGTGACCAGGCCAGACACTGAGCGGCTGAAGCAGCCCATACCGAAGGTAGAGGAGCCCTCCACAGCTGATTCCGAGGCACCCTGCGCCCTTCCAGGCACCACCTGTTCCTGTCCCCCTCATCCTAAGCATCAACAAATGCTGATGTGCCCCTGCTGCATGCTGTGCCTCTCTGTGCCCTGGTGTCCCCTCCAGGTGATGGGGTGTGGAAGCCAGGGGAGGCTGCTCTTCACACCGAGTCATCCCCACCCCTCCCGGAAAAGCCACACGTGGATTGGGGAGAAATACAAATCACATCCTTCCCTCTAAAGAGGCCAGGAGGGAGGAAGCTGGAACCCAGAGGAGACTGGAGAAAGAGATTAGAGAGCGAGGCCTGGAATAAGCAGCCCACATTTTAGATGGAGGAGGACGGGATATGGGGAGCTTTCAGGGGTTGCGGTGCCCAAGTGGCAAAGCTGAAGAGAAACGTCACAACCAGGGGCAGGGATGTCTGAGGGCTGAGGGCGCCCCTCCACACCCGACTGGCAGAGGTTTCCAGCCGGGTGGGAGGATCCGCTCCCCACCACGCCCAGGGGACTCTGTCCTCCCGTCAGCAGCGGCTCCCCTGGATGCCGCCCTGGTGAGTCTTCAGCCCATCCGACTCCGGCCTCACCCCCAACGCCTCCTCGCCAGCTCTGCCTTTTCCCAGGTGACCTGGTTCAAAGCCCCCACCTCAATTTCTACTTCGAAGGTCACGTTCTTAGCAGGCACTGGGGCCCAGCCTGGTCTCCTTCGGGCTCTCCTCACCGCCCCCCAAGCGACCCGGCTCCCGTGGTGGGTCTAAGATCGGTGGGGGGCGGGGGGGGTACGGGTCTGGGTGGATCCGAGTGGGATCAGGGTGGAGAGCGGGGGCAGGGCCGCAGTTTCCCAGACCGACCCCACCAACCGACAGTCGGGGACTCGATCCCGCCGCGAGAGCGCGGCGCAGACACATTCCGCCGGGCACTTGCGATTCAAAGACAGCAGCGCAGACACTAGCTCCCTTCCCCTTAACAGGCCCCCTCCTTTTCCCCCCAACTCCACACCGCCCCCCGACGCCCCGCGCTCCACCTTTCTCCTGGCTCCTCCCTCCGCGCCTGCCGGCACCCTCCCTCGCAGCCCGAGTGCCCTTCCTCCTTGCCTCCTCTCCCTCCTCCACCCCTTCCCCTCCCCCGTCCTTAGCTCCCACTTTCCATCACCTACTGCGGGCCGTCGTTCCTCCAGACCCTCACCTGCCCGCCTAACCCGCTGGGCACCCTCTCCACTCCTGGGCACCCTGTCCCCGACCTCCCCCACTGGCTGCCCCGCTGCCCCCTCCCGCCTCCTCGCTCTCCCCCCACCCCCCTCCCGGGCGCCGCTTCCCCGCTCCCGCTCCCTCCGCGTCTTTTCCTCTCCCCTCCCCGCGAAGTTTCGGGGCTGTCAGTCTGTCAGTCTCCGGGCAGTCCGCACCCGGACTGCAGGCGGCGGGCGCC